ATAGTCTCTTTTCTCTTCCAAGACACCTGGGCAGAGAAGCAGTGGGGACACAACGTGACTGAATTCCAGCAGCGTTTTGATGAAGTCCTGACTCAAGGAGAGGGTCCCAGGAGGCTGAAGAACCTGTATTTCATCTACCTGATTGAATTACGGGCCCTTTCTAAAGTCCTGCCTTTTTTCGAGCGCCCAGACTTCCAGTTGTTCACGGGGGATAAAACTCAAGATGCCGAAACCAAGCAGCTCCTTCTGGAAATTCTACACTTAACTAAGTAAGTGTAAAGGCCTTTTGGAGGTATAGTTGGCACTGAGAGGTGAAATCATCCCATTGAAGTGTTTCTTGTTAATCACCCTCGAGTTGATCTCAGCTCATGGCAACCCGGTGGATGAGACTTCTCCAAGACTCCCTGTCCTCCATTACCCTTCTTAGTTCTTGCAGATTTATACCTGTGACCTTAATAGAGTCCATCCATCTAACGTGTGGTCTTCCTCTCTTTCTAATTCCCTCCACTTTTCCTAGCATTACTGTCTTTCCCAATGATTCATGCCTTCTCATGATGTGACCAAAGAATGACAGCCTCAGTTTAATTATCTTGGTTTCCAGGGAAATTTCAGAACTAATTGCTGAAGAATTAATTTCTTCATTTGCATAATGGAGGGTTTCCCCAGTTGGATACCTCCAGATGTGCTGGACTATGCCTCTTATCATCCCCTGCCAGCTATGCTATTGGCACCTTGGGTGGGTTGAGTGGGAGGAAGACCCACTTGAAAAAGGGTGATATCATATGTATACTGTTTAAAACAGTAGTTCCCAAACTCCGATCCTCTGGGGTTTTTGGACTTCAGCACCCAAAAGCCCCTGCCAGTCAGAAATTATGGGAACTGAGGTCCTAAACATCTGGAAGACCAAAGTTTGAGGACCATTGGTTTAAAAAATCCACCTTTTATAAAAAAATTTGGAAGAATTTGACTTATCAGGGTGTCGAATTTTTAAAATCTATGTGTTGATCTGTCTGTTGAGTCTCCCTGTTCAATCTTGAAAGCAGATAAAGACTGCTTAAAACAAATAGATTCTATATACCAGGGCTGGAAACTGTGTGGCCATTAGGATGTTGTTGGACTTCAACGCCCAGTATTCCTTACTATGGGCTGTACTGGCTAGGGCTTCAATCCTTTTTCTGTCATAGATGGGCCTAACCTCAATTTACACTTAGACATGTATTTTTAGGACATTGTGAAAGGAGGCTGAGCCAGCATGGCGTAATGGTTTGAGTGTTGGACTACAGCTGTGGAGACCAGGGTTCGAATCCAAGTTTGGTTATGAAACTCACTGGGTAACCTTGGGCACGACATACTCTGTCAGCCTTAGGGGAAGGCAATGGCAAACTTCTTCTAAACAAATCTTGCCCCAGGTTTTCCTTAAGTCGCCATAAGTCAGACGCAACTTGGAAGGCAGATAACAACAACAAAAGGAGATAGCCTGTACCTCCTTGTACAATGCCACTTACCCTTGTTGCAAAACAGCAGCTGCAGGGCTATCAGGAAAAGTGTCTGGGTGAATTCTGGTTGCCCTTACACATGATAGCCATGTTTAAATATGTGAAGGGATGTCATATTGAGGATGGA